GTACAAGTCAAGTTTGGGGAAAAGCATGCAGTTGGCTTTAGAGAATGTTGTAAATGTTGTTTTTGACAAATACAATAATTTTGACGGGTCTGCAATTGGAGAAATGGCTGTAGAAGCACAGTTGTATGAGGAAGCATTTGCAATTTTCAAGAAATTCAACTTGAATGATCAAGCAGTCAATGTGTTGCTTGATAATATTCGTAACAGCTATCGAGTTTGCTTTCAGAGTTGAAGAAGATGTTATTTGGAGTCAGGTTGTGAAAGCTCAACTAAGGGATTTGCCAGGGGTTTTATTAGAATTGTCTAAGGAGTTCAACATTGAAAAGTTTTTTTGTTTTATTGGACTCCCTAATTGACTGCAGTTCTAAAGATGAATACTGCCAGCAGACTTTGCTGTCTTTGATAGAAAAGGTCCCCATAAATGATTCTGTTCATCACGTGGTCACCAAAGTTCTATCAACTTGTGTGAAACTATCGCAAAAAAAGTTGATGACTCGATATCTTTGATGTCAGCTGGTTGGGCAAAAAAAAGATTTTAATAATTGTTAATACAAAGTATCCATCTGAACTCCATGGAGCAGTTAATCATTTCCTTCAGAATAACAAAGCACATTCAAAGTAAGATGATTCACTGTATAAGATTTTATGTAAGATGTTGGATGGTAATTTGGATTCATCATCTGATATTTCAGAGTCTAAAGTTTGGTTTGCCTTGTATCATCCAAAGGCTGATGTTAGACGTACTACACTGCGTGATATAAATTTTTTTGGCATTTTGAAAAATGAGGCATTTGTTTCAGAGGGTCTTGTTGACATTCAAGAGGCCAATTTGAGACAGCTTGATGATAAAGATCTAACAGTTGTTCAAGCAACTTTAAGTGTTGGTGGCTTGCAAAATGTATTAGGTGCTTCTAAGCTTATTGAGACACTGCAAACTCTGCTAAGAAGATATGTTGGTAAGCTGCTGTCTGGTTCAACCGATAATGCAAGTCTAACTGAGAAGTTGCTGTCACATGTTTAAAGAAAGCCATATCATATTTCCATGATCATACTGATTACTTGAAAAAACATTGCCGCCATGATTTTTCCATTACTCCTTGCTATGCCACAAACACAAGACTTGAATTTAAAAGCTCTTGTACTAGTCAACAAATTTACCTCGCCATTTTATCAGAATGTTGTTGTGTCTAGCTCTGAAGTTACTCCTCCATTTTTGGTTGCACATTCGGGAAACTTGACTCTCCTTCGTAAACTAAATGAATTTAGTAGCCGATATGAATATGAGATTATTCTGTGGCTATGCTACAACAGCAGCGGTGAGGGAAGGTCACCTTAATGTATTATAGGTTCCTATCAATGGTGGCGCTTCACAGCTTGCATATGAAGATGTTTTACTTGAATCAAGCTATGTCGGACAGGCTAAATTTGATGAGTTTCTTACGCAGTCCAACATGATTCGTCCTCGTGTTGCAGTTCACGCGCTTGTCTCTGTTTGTTGCAAAGGATTCGTTGAGGTTGTTAATGTACTCATCAAGCAAGAAGTGGATATCAATGCAATGGATAGGATTTTGCTTCAATCTTCAAAGTTGTTCCTCCACACTAATGTTTATTGCAATGTATTATTTGCTGCTGTTATCGGCAGGTAGATAAATGTTGTCAAATTACTGTTGCATGTTGGAGTAAGATTTGATATCAAGGTTAAACTAGGAGCTTGGTTTTGGGAAAACAGATATGAGAGAAGAACTTCGTGTTGGCGTCGGACTAGCTGAGCCTTAACGAATCACATGGTGTATGGAACTTGGCTCTCCAACAATCACAATATATTCCATTATGGCCTTCCTTCTCCATTACTAGATCATCTTCGGAAATCTCAAAGTTTTGTGCTGCAAACAAAGACATTTTTGCAAGGAAAACTTGGAAAATGAGTTGAAATCCAAAATTAAAACACAGCAATGGCTCAAGCCGAAACGATACAACAGTACTGTCAATTAATGGATTATGCCACAAACCAAAAAATACCAACTCGTGTACCGGCAATGAGTCTCAAAGTTCCTTTCCCTTTTGATACAACAAACCTTCATCAGTTTACAAACCTCTCATCAAGACTGCGATATTGTCAAGAGGCAATCCATGCAAAAGTGACTTAATCATGGGCTGACCGTGTGTCTGGATCCTCGGCAAAGATTGACTCATACAAAATCTCATTCTGAATCATATTGTCAAAGTTATGATATCAACTTGGTCCGACAAAATAACACCAATTGTTTGAATAACTCTAAGCATATCAAAAGCTAGAATTGTCATATCTCTTCCGGCCAGTTTATTTTTAATAATTGATGCTGTAAATCCTATTGGAGGGAGACATGATTCCTTGAATTTGTTCGCACAAGATGTTGAATTGACAAATCCTGTTATTACTTGTTTTGACATCCTCAGTGTTGTGAATGATATGATTAATCCATTCACTGATGAAATGCTTGTGAAGTTGTTGTTGACAGTCATCTCAAGTCACAAGTCAATGGTGCTAACAATGGTGATAAATCTGTTAGTGAATCCCAGGATGTCTTGGCAATTCTGTTGAATAATCTCAAGGTGCAGCCTTGCGATTGTTGCAGAAAATTGCTGAAGAAGCAGAGCGAAAGCGGCTCGAAATCGAGATTGAGCTGAGGAAACAAACATCACGTAGACCAAGCTGTGCGAATCGTAAATGAGCCATGAAAGCCAATCCATGTCATATAATTAAATCTGAGCTGAAATCAAAAAGCAAGAATCCATGTCACATTCAAATTACAACAAAAGCTGAAAGAGAAAAATCAAAACGACGTGAAAAAATACAACCACAGGTCACGCATAACTTGTAGTAACTAAAACGCAGGAAAAATACACAAACGACAAATCATTTTTCACTCACTCTCATCTATAAATACAACACATACCTCACTCATTTTTGCAAGCTTGAAAAGCCAGAAAATCTCTGCAGAAAACTCACCAATACTCATCTTCAAGCTTTAACCGAGCTACCTCCATCAATTCCAAATTCACCGTTCTTCACTCTTCTTGCTCATATATCCTCCAATTCAAACAAGTCTTGAAAATTCTTCAAAAAGAAATTGCAACAACAACTCCATCAATTCACAGCAGCTTCAAAAGATAACAACCACATCTCGTAATTTCTCTGCAACGCATTTCAACATCACACAACACCAGATTCAAAGAAGAAGAAAAGAGGTATGCTGAGAACTTTCTAAACAAATCGATAGAAGTTGAGTATTATGTTGATAGGGCTGATGAATCTGAAATCGAGGTTGATTTTCTTCAATTGTTTGATTGCTTGGGGAACCTTCAATTCTCTTTTGATTCTTCAGTGGTACCATGATTGTAAAGATATGAATAAGATGCAAAAGAGAGGGTATGTTCATTATTTATGGGTGTCAAAGAAAATATTATAGGAGAAGAAAGTGAGTAAAGAAAAATGATGAAACTAAAACACTATTTGTAGACACAACATAAATTGCTTCGCTCTCAAGATTAATCGTGCCACATTTTTAATACTCTAATGTTCATATAACAGCTACATAACGTACTAATCATGCCACTTTGGACAGATGTATGGTGTGATTTCAACACATAACATGTGATTCTATGTTTTGTACAAGTATATTTTTTATTATAATAAATAAATTAACGTATATTTTATTTTTAAAAGTAAAAGATAATAATAATAATAATAATAATAATAATAATAATAATAATAATAATAATAATAATAATAATAATAATAATAAGGTTTAATTCAAATTTTGGTACTCATTTTATCTTTTTTTTTCCATTTTAAAACTCACCATTTTGGTATTTTTAAAGTTTTGTATTAGATTTTAGTCTTTTTTTATGACATGTTTACTTTTTATCTTCCTTATCTTTTTAGAAATTATTATTATTATTACGTATATATCACAAAATTTATTACATAAATTATTTAAATTATAAATAATTTAAATTAAAAATAAAATTAAATATGTTTATTTTTTTGACCCGTCTGCATAGCTAAAACAACAGACGAAATTATATGTAAGTGCTTGTTTATATGCTTATAATAACGATGATAATAATAATAATAAATAATAATAATAATAAATAATCATAATCTTAGTGAGAAACTAAACTTTAACCAGGTAAATGATGTAATAAAATATTTTATTAAATGTTATTGTAAAATTATTTAAATAAATAATACACTGACAGTGTAAATTATTTTTATACTGTCAACCAATAATAATTCTTATGTCTATAAATTTTAAATTATTTGTATAATTTAACACTTTAAAATATTATAATTGAATGCATGTGTTTTACATTGATTGGACACTACTATTAAACTCAAATTATTTTATATTATTTATACATATCATTTAAATATTAATCTATATGTAGGAAAAATCAAACAATCATCTAGAAAATATCATTTTTCCAAAAACACATCATAAGTACTATTCTTCAAAAAAACATTATAATTATTTTTTTATAATTTTATTTACAAAACGTTTTTGTTGGACTTATTTTAAAAACTTATTTACTTTTAGATATGAAATTATTATTATGGGAAAACAAAGTACCGTTGACAAAGCACAAAACAAGGAAACACGTTACATAGCAACACGACGTCGTCACGATTCTTCCACCGCACTTTCGCAACTTAAAACCCCCACTAACCACCGACAACCGCCTTCACTTACGACGGTGAATCTTTCTCTTTCTCCTCACCATTTCTCTCTATACCCAACCAACCACTCCTTTCTTCAAACCCTTTCCAACGAATCTCTACATTCCTGAAACCACCTTTCCATCACCGACATATAACCATCTCAACCTAACACAAAAAAAACCTAATTTTTACTCTTTCTGTAACCACCCAATAGCTTTTTCAAATCTGGGTGGAACCTGTTTCAAAATTCGGTTACTGGGTCTGTGTTTTTGAAGTCTGGATCTTATGGTTAAGAAGAATGGAAGAAACTGAAGGTGTGAATTGTTGTAGTGAAGGTAGAAGCTCTAGTGAGAGTCGACCTCCGAATCCTAATCCATCTATTGCTTCTGCGTATCGGCAATGCAAACGCAATGATCCTGTCGTTTTGCCATGCAGAAACTCCCTTGTTCGTCACGCTTCTCTTGTAAGAACTTTTTGGTTTTTGTTCTATTATAGTGTGTGTTTTTGTTGTGATAAGGATGTTACTAGTTGTTTGTTTTTCTAGACAGAAATAGGATGGTTTCTTCTTTTGTTGATTTGGAACAGTTATTACAGCATTTATTACTTTTCTTGAAATGATCATTCTTATCTTTATGTGTACGTTTTTAGCATTATTCCTTTATCTTTACATTTGTCACTTTGATGTAGTGAGAGTTTTGGAAAGTTGTAGCACAACTGTTGAGTTTTGTGTGCAACTGTTTTTAGCTTTGGTTTTTGTTTGATTTATTATTGTAATTATATAGGACTAGAATAGATAGAAAATTACCAATAGTTGGTCTAGTGATGATTGGCGCTGGACTTGGTAGGGAGGACCACAGTTCGATCCCCTACAACTGCGATTGGGAGGGGGCTGAAATCACTTAATGCGAACCGGATTAGTCGGTCCAGTGGGCTGGATACTGGTGGCGGAAAAAAAATAGATAGAAAATTTTATTGGGAAACAAAAATGTGGATTATTGATGCTTGTCAGAAGATAGAAACTAATTGCTTGATCAACATGATATTTTCTTCTCATTATGATTAGTTGTGTGATGGATTCGGTTGGTAACCTTATTATTGCTTATTGATTGCTGTTGCCACTAGTGTTATTTCCGGATTTTAAGTTTCTTTCTACATTATTTTCTCTTCACTTTCTTGATGTGTTATTTTTTTGGAACTTTCATGGAAAATTCAGCAAACGAAAATGAAGTTGTCTGATGTATCTGCTGAGGATGTTTCTGAAGATTTCCTTCCAAAGCTTCGTTCGGGAGGATACGCTGATGTTGGGTTCCGGTCAAGTATGGAGGATGTGTATGTTTGTGTGGACCACTTTATGCAGGATCATGGGCTCAACAATCATATAGTTGGACCAAGTGCTTTCTATGGGGTATGTGTCTCTCTCTGAGTCCTTGGTGCTTAACTTCATTGGAGTACTGGTAGTTGTAAGAATGGATTTTAATTGTTTATTCATTGATATCCTCTCATCATAGAGATCCGACAAAGTTTTATTTTGGTTGTCGACTGCCTAACATAACTCTCATTTTATTCGGGCTTGGGACCGGCTATGCATAACAATGCTACCATAGGTAGAATTGTGAGACTAGATTGATGTGTGGTAAGACTACACGAGATTAAGATTAGAAATAACCATATTAGAGAGTGTTGGGGTAACACCTACAGGAGAAATAATGGTGGCAAAATAGACTTAGGTGGTTTGGGCATCTACAAAGAAGACTTGTAGATTTTGTTGTAAGGAGAGTAGATCAGATGATGGAGAGAAGTCAAACAACTAGAGGTAGTAGAGGAAGGTTGAGAAAAATTATAAGAGAAACTAGTAAGTAAAGATTAAAGAATTGGATAGATTATTATGGCGGAATTTGATCCATGTAGCCGACCCCACTTAGTGGGATAAAGCATGGTTATTGTTGTTGTTGATATCCTCATGTGCCATTATTTTCTTTTCCTTCATTTTGGCTTCTTTCATTCTCATGCTCGCACATCCGACAGTATCTTTTGGAAGTTCTTTGCAAATCTTAATTTGCATCCTAATCTTCTTTGGTAATTAATTGGTAACGATGTTTTGCTTTACCTTATGGTGTGGACCAATGGATGTAAACACATATTAGACGCCCCTTTTTTCTGGCTGTGGAGATTTTTAAATTGAGAAGAATAGACAAGTTTATTTAGGTTGCTTGCATTTGTTTTTAAATTGCTTACAAAAGTCAAGTTATATTATATGGCCAATGGCATGGTCAGGTATTTGATGGACATGGCGGGAAGCATGCTGCTGACTTCGCTTGCAACCATTTGCCGAAGTTCATTCTTGAGGATACAAATTTTCCAGTGGATATTGAAAGGATAGTTGCTTCGGCCTTTCTGCAAACAGACAACGCATTTGCGGAAGCTTGTTCTCTGGATGCTGCCCTTGCGTCTGGCACCACTGCATTGGCTACCCTTGTTATAGGAAGGTCAGGATTTTGATATTAAAAAATCTGGGCATACATTCTTTTTTTTTCTTTCTTCAAATTAGGGGCAAAGGTATGATTATATTTTGTCCACGTTTTTTTGACAAAAGCTATAAATCTGATTGAGGTTTGAGAGCTTTTCGCCCTGCCACAAAAGTTGGCTCATATTTCCATTTTTGACGTGGTATCAAGCGCATAGATGTGATTATGTGATAAGTTGCATGTTGATTGTAGTTTCTGATTGTAGGTTACTGGTGGTTGCAAATGCTGGAGATTGTCGAGCAGTGCTGTGCCGCAGTGGAAAAGCAATTGAAATGTCAAGAGATCACAAACCAGTTTGCATGAAAGAGCAGAGGCGTATCGAGGCATCTGGGGGGTATGTCTATGACGGATATCTTAACGGACAACTTAGTGTCACTCGAGCTATTGGTGACTGGCACATGGAAGGAATGAAAGGCAAAGATGGTGGACCACTCAGTGCAGAGCCTGAACTCATGACGACAAAACTTACTGCCGAAGACGAATTTCTCATCATAGGCTGTGATGGGATTTGGGATGTTTTTAGAAGCCAAAATGCTGTAGATTTTGCGCGGCGTAGGCTTCAGGACCATAACGACCCAGCCGTTTGTAGTAAGGATCTAGTTGACGAGGCGTTGAAGAGAAAAAGTGGAGACAATTTAGCTGCTGTTGTGGTTTGTTTCCAGCAACAGCCTCCACCAAATTTGGTAGCACCGCGCGCCAGAGTGCACCGGAGTTTCTCTGCTGAAGGTTTGAAGGAGTTGCAAAGCTTTTTGGATAGTTTGGGAAAATGAGTTTTTGCACAAGTCTTTTTGGTTCCTTCTTGTTTGATTTTCTTTTCTGTACCTCTTTCTAAGAATTGAGATTCATTTTGTAATTGTAGGTGTTAGGTGTAGTAGGATGAGAGAGAACTTTCTGACTGTATCATATGCGGCAGCTGACATTTTAATTTACTGGTTCTAGTTCTTTCTTATTTCATTTTTGCACCAATTAATACATAGCTTCATGAACACCAGAGATTATTATATTTACAACTTTTTGCTTTTATTTTTTACAAAATGCTCATCTTTTTTGGAAATTAAATGCCTTAATTGAAAAGGCAAAGGTAGATCCAAAGATTAGTGAAAAACCAACTACCACAGCTGCAGCTACACCTTTTAACTCATCTCCATACCCAAAATAACTTCTAACAAACTCTTCCACGGTCTCTCCAGTATCTATATGCTCTTTAACATCACCAAATTGTGTAGTTACCAAGCCACATAGAGTCCAAGACATAGGACAAATCCAGAAAAACCATCTCCACCATATTGGCATTCTCTGTTACATATCAAACAATATGCTATTAGCCTTTTTGAGTTAAGTTTCGTGTTTGTACTTGCATGGTCTAGGATTAAAAATGAAGCGAAAGGGACACTGAAACTTACGGTTCGGGGAATCACGAATCCTGAGAAAAGGTTCCATAACAAGTAGAAGCCAAAGGAAACTATAGCAGCAACGTTGTGATCTGGTGTAGCACCCACAAGCATCATTCCAAAGAAGGTGAAGTATAGCAAGGTGAAGAACATGAAGAATAGATACCAAAAGAACTTGGCAGGTGTCTTTTCAAACCCAATCATGATATACACTATAATGCCATATAGAAGGGTCTGTATGAGTATGTATGGGATCTCAACAGCAACCTGAATATTAAAAAAGGTGGTAAGTTTCCTAAACACTTAATCTGTGAAGTTTAATCTTGTAGTTAACATTCCTTAACCATTATATGGTCAGTAACATTATGCATACCTGTCCAAATGCATATGGCAATGCTGAGTACATTCCAGCAGCCTTTTCTCTATAGAAGACTGTTCGCTCAATGGCTACAACTGGTTGCACTGATGTAGCATTTTGTGCCCCGATGAAGAGTACTGCGGCATACATGGATCCCATCGCGTTAAATAGATCTTGTTTTCTTTCCCTGCATTACAAGAATACATGAATGAAGGTAATGACTGACAGCGATTCAGAAACAAGTTAGGAATGTTGATTGGTACCTTTTGCTGCCAATATTCCAAAATATTGTCCCGAACAAGAAGGCAATGACTATAGTGAATAAAAGTCTCACTGCACTGTATGGTGGATTTCGCCAATACGACAGGTGCTGCTTCCAAAGGCAAGCCATACATTGGGTTAAGAAAGATTGTGAGTGCTGTGTTGTGAAGTACAAGTCTTTAGAACCCTCTGTAGGGGTACTGAGTTCCCTGATCAAGTCCTTGTTTCTCCTGAAAGTAATTGTACATCATGGCTTACAAATCGTATATATGCTTTAAGAACGGCTTTTACTTCCAAACATCATTACGGATTCCTAAAGCTGTTACTATCTTACCTGTATAATTCAGAATCCTTGTAAAACTCGGCGAAGTTAACTCCGAGAGCTTCTTCTTGTACTTCTGAAGTAACCTCCAACATCCAAGTGGCAGGGTTATAACCATTCTTGATTTTCGGCACTCCATTAACTCCCTATATCAAGGAGGTGTTTTTTGCTCTGATGAAAATACTATCCGATAATACGTCAAGTATTTAGTATTGGTAACAAACTAGATATAGTTACCTCAAAGTAATTGATTAGATGAGAACAATGGCGACCTAATGGCCCAACATATATTTCCTCTCCTCCACGCTTCAAGAGAAGTAGCTGGAAATTACAAGAAAGATTTAAGCCGTGTCACACTAAGAGTTTATTCAATGACTTGGCAAAAAAGGAAAATGGTATCTGACCTCATCAAAAGCATCAAATATATCAATACTAGGCTGGTGAATTGTGCAGACAACAGTTCGTCCTGTATCAACCGTATTCCGCACTGTTCTCATTACTATAGCAGCAGCTCTAGCATCAAGGCCAGAGGTAGGTTCATCCATGAATATAATAGATGGATTGGCAACAAGTTCGACTGCAATTGTTAATCTTTTGCGCTGCTCCGTGGACAGACCATTCACACCTGGCAATCCAACGAGCGCTTCTCTTATTGACGTCAACTCTATCAACTCTATAACTTCCTCAATGAACATCTGCAATAAGCGGTGTGTTCACATGACTTATTAATATACAATGATTTTGTATTCAGAGTAAAACAAACAAAAAATTGACAAACTTTACCTTTCTTGTGGCAGAATCAACCTCAGGTGGCAACCGGAGCCATGCAGAATAAACAAGAGATTCATAGACAGTAACATGGGGAGAGTGAATATCATTTTGCTCACAGTATCCTGATATGCGAGCAAACGTTTCTTGCTTTTTAGGGTACCCCGATATAGTGATTTGTCCTTGAATGTATCCTGTTGTTTTCCTTCCAGACAACACATCCATTAGAGTTGTTTTACCAGCTCCACTTATACCCATTAGAGCTGTCAGAACACCTGGTCTAAAAGCTCCATTAACGCCCTTCAAAAGTTCAAGTCGATCTTCAAGAATTCCTTTGGCCTTTATTTCCTACAAGTAAGCATAAAGGGAGAGCGTTAGAAATATATCAGGAGAAGACTGTAAACTATTGCCAATTTTTTTTTATTGTTTTCTTCAGAGAGTAACTTAGGTATGCTTCACATGTCACCACTATGTTATGCTATGTGCATGCCGGGTGACTCGGGTCTTGTTTGGATAAACAACTAAGCTCTTATTTATTATAAACACTTATCATATAAATGCTTTTGTATATGCTATTTACGTAATAAAAAATAAAATAAGGTCAAACTGTTTTCATATGAATTATAAGTTGTTTTCACAAGCTATTTTGGAGAACTTGTGAAAATAAGCTAAAAATAACTTATGATATCTCATAAGTTGTTTTCATAAATTCTTCTAAAGAATCTTTCACGTGTTTATGCTAGTAGATAATTCAAACAAACTCTCATTCTAACACTCAATTGCATAAATGGCCACTACATTTCAAGTTGATGACTTGAGAGACAGTGGAGTCTCCACTTAAAAAGTCCTTTGAAGTTTGAAGATAATTCTTGTACCTGTGGCATGTCCACCTGATATCCGATTTCATCAAAAGTGATAGAAAGGGGTGTGAAAGGAAGAACCATCCCCCGCTTCCTGCTGTGATCAGTTTCACTAATGCTGCCTACTTTTGCTGACACTGTCGTAGAAGAAAAACTTCTTCGACTTGCATTTCCTTTGGCTGCATCGAAATTATGTCGATCATCTTACACAGAATTATCAGAAGTAAAATAGGAAGAATTTTTGTAAGCAAATTTGTAACTCACCTGAAGAACATTCGCTTTTAGGCGATAATCCAATGATCTGTCTGTCTCCAGCAGTGGCAGCATTTCTCTCAGCCAGGGCTTCTTCTGATATTAAAGCCTGTGGTTTATCAAATGCTGCAGTCAAATGTTTCATTTGTTACTAAGCGCACTACATAAATTTTACAAACTGAAAAGCACGTAACTAAGATACTTACAGTCGAGATAATGTAAGGCCAAAGGGAAAAGGAAGTTGAATAGTAAGATGTACCCGATGGAAGCTCCTACTCCAATCCAATACCAATATGCTTCAGGGAAAATCCCGCGAGACTTCAAAATCTGCACTCCTAATGGTTCTGTTGAACCAGGTGGAATCTGCAATGAAAAGGTATTCACACATTTTCAAACAAGGATTAACACTCTTCACTAGTCAGTGTTCTTGTATATGTAACAATGTTTCACTCTTGTGATTGCATTGCTTGCTTACATGGGACCAACTCTTTCCAAGGAATTCATTCACAGTTATAGCATTCTGTCCATACATCATTGGTGAGACCCAGTAACCCCATAACCACCACTTCTTCACATCAACTGTTGCAAAAGAACTAGTTCGATGAGCTTTTGATGTTGAAACAAAAGATATGCACCGTGATAACAAACGCCGCTAACAAGTTACTAGAGATGTACTTAGTTAGTTGTTAGTTAATAGTTTATTATTGGTTAGTTACTAACTATCACTATGTAAGTGATGTAACCCCTTGATGTAATCGTAATATTCTCATTATCAGTACTCTTTTTATTTTACTTTCCACTCCTTTCTCCTATTCATGACTTCTATCTAAAATTGTAATATAGTATCAGAACTCGCTCGGTGACATCACTTATATAGAGGGTAAACATTTCACCTCTCGATAGGATAAATCCACCCATGACCATAACTGCAAGCAAAGCAAATGATCCAACTGTGTTTGCGACAATGATATTTCTCCCAACTGCGCCAATAAATCGAAAAAGTGCAGATGCCATCTGGTTGATACAAACTAGCAAAAAGTACTGTTTGATAAACCTGCCATGAGGGAATGTGTGTCAGCAGACTGAAGCAAGTTATGTATAAAATATAAAGTCAACACACTATAAATGAAAACAAATTCTCACCTTTCAAAAGATGGATCAAATCCTATAACATAGTAGGTCAACACCACCCAAATACCAACTTCTACAAAACTTATAGGAATCTTGAGGATCCATGTAGGCAAAGAGTATGCCCAAGCAGGGAAAAAAAGAAGGTCCCTTTGCTTATAGAAAACTGGGAGTTTCATGATGAACATCGATAACTCCGAGTATCCATTGAACATAATTACAATTAGTATGAAGAATAGAGCACCCATATAGATCCCGCCGTCTGTTTCTGTATTCCTATGCATCTCGGTTCGTAGGAACATTGTCATTGTTACGATGCCAGTGAAAATCAACTGAAAAAATGAAATCAAACATGACTCTAGTTGAGTTGAAATAGCACAGATGGAAAATGAACTACTTAATTAAGCGCTTGTTACAGAACTACTTATCTAATAAGTGCTTACGTATAACTATTCTATAACAAAATATAAAACAAAATAATACTATATTTTTATAAGCTATAAGTTGTTTTCGTATGCAGTTCTCTTCTAAATAGTCTCACAAGTATTTGTGCCAATAGATAAGTTCAAATGGTGAGTGTTTACCTGCCACATCTTGAAAATATACACAAAAGAATTCCTTTTCATAAGTAAAAGTTCTCTGGACACACATGCTTTTAAGAGTTCTTTCTTGCTCACACCATACTTGTTTTTTGTTAAAACAGCAGGGTGGCCTTTGGAGGTATCAAATGGAGTAGCAAGTTCGTCACCGAGTTTTTGACCAACATGAAATAACTGAAATGCTTCAGCAAATTCTCTAACACTGATGAAGTTATATGGCTCATCTTTATTTTCCCAGTACTGTTCTTGCTCTTTTCTTGACGTTACCTATCAAATGCATTAATGGAAAGGGTTGAGTTCAGTATCTTTTAGGTGAAAAGAGTAAAACAAGTCTTAGTTTGGTGAAGCTAAAAAAAGTACTTCTTGTAAAAAGTCTGCTACTCCTTTCCTCTCTGGACATTTGAAACCAACGTGTTGAAAGAATTCAAGGACATTTTCCCTTGGACCTTGATACACAATTTGGCCGTCTGAGAGGAGAATTATGTCGTCAAATAACTCGTAAGTTTCAGGTGTTGGCTGCAGAAGAGAGATGAGAGCTGTTCCATTCAGAATGTGAATGGATTGTCGTAGTGAGTTAATCATTTGGAATGTTGTGGAACTGTCCAAGCCAGTTGATATTTCATCCATGAAAAGCGCTCTTGCTGGGCCAACTAGCATCTCACCTATAATCATAGTCAGATCATGAGTTTCACAAAAAATACAAAATAAAAATAAAAACACTTCATTTCATATTAGTATTTCCCAGATAAAGAGATTTATGGTTTACCAGTCGTGACTCGTTTTTTTTGTCCGCCAGAAATACCTCGAATCATTCCATCCCCTACCATGGTATCAGCACAAACATCTAGACCCAAAATCTGCCAAATGTTTTAGAAATATGAAAATAATGAGCTTCTTCCTTATTTTATATTACAATCATCTTTAAAATTGCTGAATTGGATTTTCACCTTAATTATATAATCTGTAACTATGTTGGTTTCTTGGCCTTCTAGTGCTTCAGCCTGAAAGTTCAGCATGTTTATCTATATCCCAAGCAATTCATTATGCAAATAAGGTTATCAAAATTTAATCATTATCTCATCTTACCTTCATATAAATATCAAGATCAGGATCTGGCTTAATGTTTTCAGCCTTTTCTCTTCTTGATAATTCTGCAAGCATATCTGCCAATTGCACAAAGACGAACAGTTCCATCATATCTAAGTGAGACAATACATAATCCTTTAAGCTACAACAACCAAGGGCTATGTTGCCTACCGTAACGAGTTCCTCTCCCTTGACACCTAGCTGAAAAGGCCAATGTTTCTCTGACTGTCATTTCTCCTATGTGCAAATCAGTTTGACTTATATAAGCTGATGTTCGCTGCGGTACAAATTCTTCCATCCCATGATCATTATATGCAACTCTACCCGAAAACTGCAATTAATCAGCAATGGAAAACTGTAAATGAATGAATTATGATTGTCAAATATAGTTTCTGAAGCAAGAGGAATCTTGCACGTGCTTACTTTTAGATCTTTACCGAGTCTTCCGGCCAGTGCCAACAATAATGTAGTCTTACCGGAACTTGGAGGACCTAAGAGCAGTGTCATTCTGCAAAACAAAAAACAAAATGTTGATTGAGAAATACATAGTTTATGTTTCATCATGTGAATTTCACAAAGGAATTGTTGTGTTACCTTTTCGGCTTGATGATTCCACTAACATCATGAAGGACAGTCAACGGCTTCTTTCGACTGGGGATAAGGTGAAGAAAATTAATGAAGCCCTTCAAAGAGACAGCACAGATGCAAAAACGTTAGAACTTGTCAGTGTATATTGGGATAACAAAACATCTAATTCCATTTCCAAACCTACTGGTATGATTACCTCAAACAAATTAATGGAGAAGTTGATGATTGTCGGCGAAGCCCTGCTTCCCACATGAGCTTCCGCTTCAACATTCAAGTGCTCAAAACGGACTTCAATCGTCGGAAATTCAAGTCCAACCCTAAACACATAATTAGCGACACAATTAAATGAACTTGCAAATTCCCCTACACATGCAACAAGCAATGGAAACTACAACGTGACCGCAATTGAGGCTGCACCAACTGCATTTCCCATCCATTTCAAAACTAGAACAAACACTAAAACACAAAGCAACAACTCAAGTTAGTACTTCAATGAAGCACTTACACAAACACCTGGTATGACCTCGAACACGAACACTGACACTGACACACGTCCGACACTAAACAAACATTCAATACATACATACATACCGATCAATACGCTCTCTTAGCTTCAACAAGAACCTCTCATTATCATCCTCAGCAATCTTAACTAGTCTCTCAACTAAATTCTTCCTCTGTAACGGACCAAGTTTGTTGACATCAATCTCTATAGGTTGTTGACCTTGCGATTCCGCGAGTACGCCTCTAGTCATGCGTAGATAGGTTGGCAGCTTCTCAATAGCAGCCCATTGAAGCTCTTGTTCGTCGTCCTCCCTTCGCGAAGATCCGGAAAACACATCAGCTGCACCACTTCTCCATATGCTTGAGCTTCCAATGCGTCCACTCACCACTCGTAGTTCACCACCTTCCATGTTGTTTGTATGTATCATGTACTCAGTTTGGGGGCACCAGGTTTTTATAGTGGTGCAAATTTGAAGTAATCAATTATTACAATAAATAGTTTATTATTGATTGTTTGAAGTTTGAACTTCACTCATGAATTTTATATAAGAGTTTAATTTTGATACTTTATGCATGTGGAACTTATTCAACAAATCACAATGTGGGATTTTAAATCAAAGTAGTTATAACTAAATTCAAATGATTTCGAATCATAACGTAACTGTATGTTAAATCTAATTTTTTAAAATCATTATGGTCGTTTTTAGCGCGTGTAAGGCCAGTTAGATCCAAAATTTATAACGCTTGAAAAGTAATTTAAATAGAATTTAAAAAAATATTTATCTTGGCTAAGTTAGGATTAAATTGTGATTAAAAAAAACTTATATTTATTTTGTTTATACAAAACTAAATAAAAGACTTGAGACGCATTTTGCAATTAAATAATTCAAATAATAAAGAAGAAGTTGTTTGCACCATGCAGCGATAACAATTGGTAGAATTTGACAGGGTATTATAATTTAAAAATATCCTCTCGTATTTAAGTTCCCACTGATTTGATTTGAGCGTCAAAGTTAACATTCTTACTTTAATTTTATAGATATGTAAATATTTATACCCGTACTTATTACTTATATTATTTAAAAACAAATAAATAAATTATAAAATATTATATCATTTTAAAATTTTAAAAATATTAAAAAAAATTTTAAAAATTTAATGTTAAAATAAACTAACACTTATACTAAATAATATACTTTTTAAAATTGATGTACAAACATTTTTATATAATAATATTAATTAAAATATCTCATATAAATTAAAATACATAAATATATATCGTGTGGACATGTGGCGGGTAGGTATCAAAATACCTATACACTACCCATACACGCATATTTTTGTGGATATTTAAATCCGTACTTGTATTCATTCTTACAAGTTTTTATCCTATCTATTATGAGTAATTTTGTACATGTTTATTGAACGGCCAATTACTTTTCCAATTCCATAAATATTCCTCTCTCAAAATAATTGTCTTATCAATTTAATATTTATGATTTTTTCATTGCTAGTGTTTATTTATTACTTTTCCTCTATTTATTAATTATAATTATTAAAGATATTTTAATTAAACATATTAATTTTAAAATCAACGCTTATAATTATTTTTTTTTAATAAACATACATAACTCAAATAAAATATTTTTATGAGACAAAGGAGTATATATTATAAATACATTTTTTAAATTTTTAATAAAAATAAAAATCGAGTTCGTATCCTACCTTAACTAATAAAACGTCGATATTAATATGTTGGACGTCATCAATTGGATTTGGATCCTGATATTAAAGGTATTGTGTAAAATTTTAGTATCTATTATACCTTTTCTATTGACACAAATAAAATAAAATAAAATAAAAATTAATTATAGAAAATTAATGTATTGTAAAATTTTACTAGAAATTTTACTTATTTAATTGATACCATATTTTTTTGGTATACTGGTAGGTCATCCGGTCGTATATGGTTTTTTCTTAAAAGAAAGGAGTGTCTCTTCTTAAATCCAAGAAAGACGACCCCTTTAATTGGCTTGAATCGAGGTTGGGTTTTAGGAAGACTCTTGACTAGTTAGTGTTTTTTTTTTCAAGATCACATTTTAAACACTTTTCTCAAATTTTCAAATTCCTAAAGGGGTAGTAGTTGAGGTTTGAGGGTGTTTTCAAGGATGATGTCTTAAAACTTTAGAAGGAAAAGACATATCTTTGTATATGAAGAACTATTTGTAGCAGAGTTTCTTTTCAGTTCTCCAAATGGCCAACCTTAATATGAAATTTGATTGGTGAATTCAGAAATATACTAGAGATGATTCATTATTTATATCTTATGCTTATCATGCTCAGTCTAATGTTAATTATATCTCCAAAAAGCCTGTAGCGAATGTTTTTCCAACCCTTCTTCTGATTTAGGAGAGTTGAGCCCCCTCTAAGTTTTTGGTTTTTTCCTAACAACTTCTACGCGATAGATTCCTATCCAAGGAAAATCTATTCAAGTGGAGTGTTATTTTTGACATGGTGGGGATCTTATATGTTCTTTGTGGAAATCAGGTAGAGTCAACATCCCATTTGTTTGTGACATGTAGTTTAGTTTCCAATGTTTAGTACGAGGTTTTTAGGTGGTTATGGTTATTTCAATTTTTTTATAGGAATCTTAGATTAGTTTTTAAGTTTTTCTTTTCCTAGGTTCTAAGGTTAAGTTTAGAAGTAGGTTTATTATGATTTGATATGCGGTGATGTGGAGTATCCAAGATGTCTGCATTGATAAGTTTTTTGTTAGTTCTTTAACAAATGTGAAAGAGGTAGAGAATAAGAGTATCTTTTTGGCTTGAAGTTAGTTTTTTAGCAAATCATCTCAGATCTTCTTCTCCTTTAATAATTGGCTTTAGAACCCTATCTTGTATCTGAACCAATAATGGATCGAGAGTTTGGCCTGACCCCTAGTTTGCGGTGCTTTCTGGTTTTTCTTTAGTTTTCATCTCTTGTTGAGAGTTGGCTCGCTCGATGAGGAACTGCTAGATTTTTCTATTTTCTTTCATCTTGTTTTATTGGTTGGTGGTTGGCATAACTTCTATTATTCTTCTTTTTATCTCTATCGTTGTGTTGTGTTGTTGTTTTGTTGGTTCAACACTTTTTGCGTCTGTTGACTCTTTATATTTGTTTGGTCTCTTTTTTCATTTGTTATTAATATAGTATTTGAGAGTATTTTAGTTTGGTTTATAAAAGTATGTCCATTTTTTTAAATTCTTTTTAAATTTTCTCTTTCTCAATTGATTATATTGATATTTGGTTCCTTCCTTACATTACTCACTCTTCAATTCAAAGATACTTTTTATAATGTTCAAAAAACTAAGGATTACATAAGATTGGTTCAAATAAGACAATCTCTTAAAAACAAAATATCATAGACTTCACGTTAAAATATTAAAATTTTATTTGTGAATATTCACCGAAACGGATTTCACTTCACCCTCAAATATTTACATGTATAAATATTTTTTTGTCATCTCTACTTATACTTAGTCCAATTCAATAAATGTCTTTTATGAAAGACAAACAAAGTACTTAGAGAAACTGAGTAATGTAAACTTGAGTTAAGAACTTCCAAATTAAAAAATTTGTCATGAACAAACAAAACAGAACTTTTTAATTTGGTATAAAAGACAAAACCAAACTATAGTTTATTTCCAATGTGTTACTATAATTAACATTATCAACTAGCCACTTAATTGAACTAAAATCCTTTGTTTAAGATGTTGATGAAATAAGACAAATTTGAAAGGGAGAGAATCTAGTTGTTGCTTGAGGATCGAAAATGCTTTTTCTATATTAAAATTGTGAATTATAGAGCCTAAAATAACATGTTGTGCATTAGTGACGTAAGTTAAGTTAATATTAACCGTTCTTTTATTAATTATCAATAATAACGATCATAACAATAGTACTAGTAATAATAAGTTTCATTATAAAAAAAAAGGAAAAGTTTAACTTTGTTTTTTGTTTTGAGTTTCATGAATAAATTATTAGTTAGCTAGGAAGACCATCTTTATCATTGAGATAAATTAGAAAATAAGAACTTAATTAGCATATTCCATGCATACGTCATTACGTAACATAGTTGATTCGTTTGTATGCTAACTGCCATGTGATAGAAACAAAAAAAAAATGATATCATCCAAAAATAGTTATTGAGTCCATAGGAAATTATTTAGCATTACTTAAATTTTTATAATATTTTTCCATTTATTTCCTACTTTATTTTATTTGAAATAACTAAAAATGATCGAATTGAACATGAAGCGTTTGTAGTCCAACGGTTAGGATAATTGCCTTCCAAGCAATAGACCCGGGTTCGACTCCCGGCAAACGCAACGCACTTTTATTTTTGGTTTAAATTTCAATTTAACTTTTCATCTACCGGTTGCTTATTACACTATGCGCTCTTGAAGTATCTTTTTTTTTCTCTTCTTATTATTCTTATTGAGAGCATGTCAAAATTATATTCTAATTTATTTTAAAAAATAAATAAATACAGAATCATACTTCTTAAATAATTGTTGGCTGTTTTAAAGCATTTAAAATTAATATTTGCATGGCAACGAGTCTTTTATGTGAGTAAGAAAGCTCAAACACATAATAGAGTATCTTAAGAGTATTTTAAAAAGAAACAAAAATTATTTTTTATTAGAGATTATAATTTTTTAAAAGCTGAATATACCATTTTTAACGTAATTTTTATATTCATTTTTCTAAAAAGACCCTGAAAAAAAGTTGGTATGTTTTTTTTATTTTTTTTAGAGAAATGGGCACATAAAGTACATAGTAGTGAGATACATTTTCTATGACTCTTATATGGATTAAACTAGGACGGACAATGAATTAAACCAACTCGAAAAAAGTTAACTTGATTTGAAAATTAAATTGTTGAACTATGTTTATGAAACAAATGAGTTGAAATGAACAAAAAATTAAGTTCGTTAACTAAATGAGTTAAACTTGAACTATACATAATTGAACTCGTTAGATTCATGAGTAAAGTAGATTATATATGAGAAAAGTTATATTGTTTTTAAGAGTAGATTTTAAGATTTACTTCAAATCTTAGCTCTATATTTTCTTTTAATCTAATGGTGAAAAATTGATATCCTATATAGAAGCAAAATGTTCTTGCCATTCCAATATCTATTGTGCCTTCGGAGTCAACCTTTAACATAGAGTTATTGATTCATTTTAAAGGTTGTGTAGTTTTTGAATTAGTAAATTTTTGAGATAAAGTTAAATTTCAATTGGATAATTTTTATTTTATTTCAATATTTTTTTTAAAAAAAAATTAATTTAAAATGTCAAATACATATTAAAAAAATAATTTTTAAGTTTGTGAAGCAAACGAGTTTAATCGAGTTGCCCGTGAACT